ATTAGCTGGCAAGCTCATGGGAGGCACTGACTGGGTCTCCTCATTCTGTATTGTGCCAAGCACCTTGGCAAAGCTTGAATAATCGTCCATTTTCTGATCCTCTTACTCAACCCCCCTTTGTTGTCTAAACTCGACTGCTGGACGCCATGCAAAGGACAAGGGTCTGGCTATTCTGGGAATGCCAGTAACTAACCACCAGGTTAGAAGACTCTGGTGCCACTAATGCATGGGGGATTAACAGAGACAAACCCCCCTGATGCCGAGACGAGCCACCTGCTCAAACTCCCTGCTCGAGCTGTTAATGAAACAGCCAAGTGATACACAAGGATGTAGAAGGATTAACGTATCATGTTAATAATCCACCAATTAAAGAGAGTACTCCCCGGCACAGACCCGAGTCACTGATGGTTACTGTGTCCCTCAGACCCTGAACTGTGGAGTAAGTCCCCAACTAAACCAAGGCACACCAAGTCTGAATCTAATGTGGCCATGGGGCCTACGTCAGCGTCCTCCAGATGCACTGAACAGACGGCAGCACCCCCCTCTGATCTAGTGCTGTGAGACTCCAGTGAGGAACAGCCATGAAAGTGAAGGGCTGATACTACTCTCTACAGCCAGCCAGTGTGGAGACAAGTATGTAGTCGCTATGAATGCATCCCAATTGTGACCCACAGCACCCCTTGTTATCCCAGCCCTAAATCTCAACAAACCCTTGTCAGCATACCTCTGTCCTGCCCTATGGCACCTTCCACAAATTTCAGATGTGGGTCTTTATTGACTAGTTTAATGACACCATCTTAGCATCTCCACATACACCTCTACCTCGATATAACGCTGTCCTCAGGAGCCAAAAAATCTTACCGTGTTAGAGGTGAAACCGCGTTATATCGAACTTGCTTTGATCCACCGGAGTGTGCAGCCCCGCCACCCTGGAGCGTGGCTTTACCGCATTATATCCAAATTCGTGTTATATCGGGGTAGAGGTGTACTCTACACCAGACAGACAGAACACAGAAGTTGTACAGTATGCAAAGATGCTAGGATAGGAGCATTGCGGGTGATACCGTTGAAAGGAAAGCGCATGTTACAACATATTAGCGTGGTCAAGAGTTGGGACCCTAGTGGGTTAATGCTCAGAGTTTTGTATATTATCTTGATTTGAGACTTCCTCGCTTTTGGGTGTTTGAGGGAATAACTTGAACAGCCTTAACTCTGTGTTAATGATGTTTTCAATGTGGAAATTTCCTAGGCTGGGGGATGTGTTGTTTTGTAATTTGTGGATATAAATGGGGGTGGGCTGGTGACCTGCAGGTGGAGACTAGCAGAGGGGTGGAAGATGGGCTAGTTGGAGACTGTAGAGCAATCAGGTCTCCTAAACAGTGGCAGAGAGCTTTACCCAACCCTTCAGCCTGCTCAGAGCGAATTGCACCAGCCTGCAGGAGCCCAGCAGCATGACCAGGCTGAGGGCAGAGAGTTTGAGTGACAGTTATAATATTACACTCCTCACAAAGAACGCTTTAGACAACAGACAGTTGTTTCACTGACTCCCAAACTTCCCTAGCTCGGCTCGCTGGCCAGCTCCACTCCAGAGACCAGTGTCCATTCCCTGCTTCAGATTTAAAAATTTTATTAAGAGGATGTTAAAAAAAAAAATAGTGAACAGAGTTTGAGCATAGAAGTTTCTGGTAAGCAGGAACCTTCTCCCTCCCCCTCCATTTGTTTCCACTATCCGTCCAACTTTCTTCAGGTAAACTATATGCAGGAAATTTAAAATTTGGGCATAGCTGTTATATCTGCAAAACATGCGCATAAATATTGACTTACATGACAGCTCTGCTAAAGGGGAAACGGAAAACAGGGAACTGGAGAAGCTTCAGTAGAAAACACCATCGTCGCCTGAGGTTCACACTTAGCTGTCTGCAGAACAGTTTGGCTTTCACACAAACAGAATGACCGTCCCACAAACCCCAGGTGAATCTCAGGGCTGCCCCCGACATGGATTCACGTGCAGCAGTTCCTGCTGGCTGTTTACAACATCCTATGCTGCTGACACAGAGAGCGTTTGCACAGCAACACCACGAGTGAGTCAGCGTTCATCCGCTAACACCATTTTTCATGGACTTTAAGTGGCTAAAAGCCATGGAGAACCAGGGAAAAGAATGTGTAAACAGAGGCTGCATAGGGGACAATCTGCAACAGCATCTGGACAAAGTTTCTTTAACATACTGATCACATGCTAGATTTCCATGGAATAAAATTCTCATTTGACAATACGGAGTCTGTGATATCACCCTGCACTGTGACAGTTGCCATCCTAAGGAGGAGATGTTAATCCAAGAACCAAGTCTGGTATGTGTTAGAGATCCCATAGTACTTTTTGGAAACTGTATGGGGAAGAAGAGTCTTGTACTAAGACACAGGGAAGGGAATCAGGATTCTGTTCCCAGCTCTCCCACTGGCTTGCCATCCAACCTTAGCTAAGCAATTCAGGCCAACATTTTCTAAAGCAGGTTCTAACATCCAAAGCTGCGCGCAGAGGGCTGCTTGCTGGCCTACTGCATGTCTATGATCCAGCTCACCACCTCAGAAGAGGTGAAGCAGCAAGTGGGCTGCCAAGTAGCCAAATCAAGCCCACAAGTGTTACCTCCTCTCAGCACCTGGGAAAGCGAAAAGGGCTGTTTGATGCAATTGGTTTTTTGTTGTTGTTGGTTGTGGGGTTTTTTTTGGGGGGGGGGGGAAGAGATGTTGGCTGAATTCTAGCACATTCCTATTGAGTACTACAGCTATCCATAGATATTATGCACACATTCCCCTACAAGACCCAAGAAAAGCAACTCCATTCTCCACCCCACCCCTCTGTCAAGCAGCTTTATCACCTCCACAGAACAGCCTGAGAGCATATGTCTACACTGCAGCTGGAAGTGTGCCTCCCAGCCCGGGTACATAGATATGGGCTAGCTCTACTAGAGCTAGCAAGCTAGAAGTATCAGTGTGGATGCTGCACCATAGGCTAGCCGCCCGAGTACAAGCTTGTCCAACTCCCTGGGTCTGTACTGGAGTGGCTAGCGCATACCGTCACCTGGGCCTCAGCTATTTTCAGCCACGTGTGTCTGTCTACCCAGGCTGGAAGGCCATGCTCCCAGCTGCAATGCACATACCCTAAAAGAGTCCAGTTACCAGACTCTTGTACGGGGAACCCGGTCGGGGCACCAAAACAGCAAAGAACAGAATTGATTGGGGTCTGTCTCCTGTCCTGTTATTTTCTAATGATTCTCATGCACAAACCCCTTCCCCCAAACATACACAATGCTGTTTTAGGCACCATAAAAGCCACCAAGCTTCTGGTCAATATAATCTGATTACCTTTCAAGTAGAAGCGACCATCTCCATTTCATCCTCTCCAAAACAAAACAACCCTCCAAGTGACAGCTCCTACCAGGTGACACCCCACCCCGAGCCATCTTGAAAGGATCTCAGCCGAATTCAGAAACAGGAAGTGAAGCATGAGCTCATTCCCATGAGTCCCTGGAGGGGGGAGCCATATATCTCTCCCAAGTTCCCCACTGCTTTAGAGAACAGGGTGTCCATAAGTAGGCCTGCTACAGCCATTTCTTTTTAAACTAGTAAATGGAATGATCACATCCAGCCCCATGGTAAATCCACCCATAGGGCAAGATCTCAGGACCCAATTAGCAAAGTTACAGATTCTTCTTCAGTTGACATCTTAGGCCCCTTTCCCTACTTCTTCCAAATTACGTTGTGGAATAAGAGCCAGAGCGGAGGAGCTGGAATTAACGTAGTGTAACCATTGCCCACTTGATCCCGGGTTACTGCTGCACACTCTGTTTTAATTAGACCCTGCCTGCTGCTGGATGCACAGGCAGAAACTGAGTCCATGAGCAGGTTTTTCCATCTGTGCCTGGCATGACAAGCGTGACACATTGTTTTGAATGCAGACTTTGCTGCCGTGACCCAGTGTAACCTAGCGCAACGTGCTCTGTGTGGGGCCACGTTCTGAGAGTACCTGGAAACCGAGGCAGGTGGCCACTCTGTAAAGCGGAGTGTACCTGGTGCCACCGTGGTGTAAGGACTGCTGCACTGAACAGTGTGAGACCTAGTTACCTGAGAGGCTGCCGTGCCACTGGGCCACTGCCGCAGCCCCGGGCAGCAGAGGCACTCCAGGTGGTGGAGAGCCCAACCCCATCAGGGCACTGGACTGGAAATCATTTCCTCCCTTGGGCCGGAGCGTGGCTCCCCGGGGTGCGCAGGGACAGGGGCAAATTGGAAGGATGGTGTTTAGCTAGGTGTGGGGCTAGGAAACTCACCCATGGCAGGGGAGCAAAGGGGGCTTCCTGGAGCTGCCACCACCCTCCTCCTCCTGTCCAGCACCACATGGCACCTTCCCCCGTCCCTCCCCAGTCCTCTCCCCACACCCCCTAGTTCCCCCCAGTGCCCTCCCCCCGCCCACACAGTCGTCCCCCGCCCAGTGCCCTCGTCCCCACACACAGCCCGGGCTACACGCAGCTCCCCCCTCCACGCACCCAGGCCCCCACAGTGCCCTCCACCAGCCCCCCCCCAACACACACGGGTCCTTCAGTGCCCTCCCTCAGCCCCCCACCCACCTCCAGCCCCTGACTCCCCCCCAGTGCCCTCCCTCAGCCCCCACAGTGGCTTCCCCCACACCCCAGCCCCCAAGCCACACACCCCAGTTCTCCCCCAGTGCCCCCCCACGCACCCAGCCCCCCCACATTGCCCTCCCCAAACCCCAGCCCCCCCAAACCACACACCCCAGTTCCCCCCGTGCCTCCCCCACGCACCCAGCCCGCACCCCACATTGCCCTCCCCAAACCCCAGCCCCCCCAAACCACACACCCCAGTTCCCCCCAGTGTCCCCCCCCACGCACCCAGTCCCCCCCCACATTGCCCTCCCCAAACCCCAGCCCCCCCAAACCACACACCCCAGCGCCCTCCTCCGCCCCCATCCCGCCCGGAGCCCTCACCTGGTACTGGACGACGGCGGGCCCCATGGGCCGGTATCCGGCGGCCCCCGCTCCGGCCGGGCTGGCGCCCCGCATGAGGCCGGGCCCCGGGGCGGAAGGGGGCGGCGCGGCCCCGGGGGCGGGGGTCAGGGGGCTGAGCGGGAACGCGCCGCGGCCGGACATCGGCTTCCGCGGCCCCGCGGCCCGGCTGTTTACTAGGAAGCGGCGGCGGCTCCCAGGGCGAGTCACCGCGCGGCACCCAGCAGTGCCCGCCCTCTCCCAGAGCCCCCGCCCCCGGGCCCTGGGCCCCGCCCCCAACCCTAGCCCCCGCCTCCCGGGCGTTCGACGCCCCGCCCCCACACCGAACCCTGCCTTCTCCTGGGCCCTGAGCCCCTCCCCCAGCCCGAGCCCCGCCTCCAGGCCCTGGGCCCGCCCCCAGCCCAACCCCGCCTCCCGGGCCCTGAGCCCAGCCCCCACACCGAACCCTGCCTCCTCCTGGGCCCTGAGCCCCGCCTCCTTCCCTGGGCCCCGCCCCCAGCCCGAGCTCCGCCTCCTGTTCTTTCTGGGTACCGCCTCTGAGCTTCAAGCCCCGCCCCTGGCCCTTGAGCCCTAGGAGAGGGAGCCGCCTGCTGCCCGAGGGTGTGCGCTGGGCGCTGTAGCAGCCGCTGGGAGGGCAGGGGCCGCCCTGGGCTCGGTGCAGGACCTGGCCCAGAGCAGGAGGGCGGGGCTCAGATTGTGGGAGCGAGGGCCAGTCTTCGCTAGGATGATTGGCTGCTTTACCTGTAATTAAAGCAATGTGTGTGTGTGTGTGTGTGCCTGTACCTACGCACACCCCGACACCCATGTGTGTACGCCTGTACCCCACCCACCTCAATATGCACTCGTCTATGTCTGTACCCCCACACCCTCCATCACCCACGTGTGTGCGCCTGTACCTATGTACATCCGACAGGCATGCATGTGCGCCAGTACCTACGCGCACACCCTGACATCTGCATGTCTATGCCTGTACCTACACACACCCAAAAAGTACACATGTGCACCTGTACTTACACACACTCTGATATCTGTGCATGTACACCCATACCTATGCACATCTCAACATGTAGGCATGTGTGCCTGTACCTACACACAACCCATCAGTGCATGTTTGCCTGTACCTACACACCCTGACATGCACGCATGTACGCCTATAACCCCATACTCGCCAACACCCATACATGTATGCCTGTACCTACGCATACCTCAACAACCCCATGTGTGCACCTATAGCTATGCACACCCAACACCTGTGCATCTGCACCTACACCCATATACACACCATGACATGCACATATGTACATCTGTACCTCCATACATAGTAAGGCTTCTGATACTGTCTCACATGACTTTCTCATCAACAAATCAGGGAAATACAACCTAGATGGAGCTACTATAAGGTGGGTGCACAACTGGTGGGAAAATCGTTCCAGGAGAGTAGTTATCAATGGTTCATAGTCATGCTGGAAGAGCATAACGAGTGGGGTCCCACAGGGATCGCTTCTGGGTCCAGTTCTGTTCAATATCTTCATCAATGATTTTAGATAATGGCATAGAGAGTACACTTATAAAGTTTCCAGATGATACCAAGCTGGGAGGGGTTGCAAGTGCTTTGGAGGACAGGATTATAATTCAAAATGATCTGGACAAACTGAAGAAATGGT